GTCTTAGTATTTAGGTCTGTCAATTTTATTCAAGAAAATAGGGCTTTGCTACATTTACTAGGAAATGTAAAACTTCATTCAAGCCCAATAAAACAAATCAACTCTTTCAGTTATGTATGGTCACTATTGAGGAAGACACATATGGTTTTGTTTTAAAAAAAGCCAACAAAAAGACCTTTGGGATTCAAGATTTCACTTTCATACTTGGCTGTATAAAGAGGCTTGTTGACTACAGCCAATCCTGGGAAGAAACACCCTTTCTGAACTCCTGTAAGAGTAGATCTTCACGCTTCAGTGAGGGCATACTCTTATTCTTTGGACACTCTGGAGAACATACTGGATACAGGGGCCCTGACTGAGGGATAGAAAAAATTCTGGTGCTTAGATTTCAACATCCTGACCCAGTGTCCGCACTGTTAGCAAGTTATTTGGAAGTTATTCTAGTATCAAAGACTCATGTAAAATATGAATCTCTATATTTGTACCTAAATATCTAAAGATACGTAGTGTCAAATCTTTAAAAAGACTTGGGTGAAAAAATGAATGAAAACCACTTGTAATCTACTTTAATTCAAGCGAAAGCTGCTCTCCTTTTTTCCCTCAAAATATATCTTGCCAAGGATTTTTCCTTTCTGCATATGTTATCATTCAGTTTGAATTAATTTGTGGGAACCGTTTCCTGGATGTTTTTGTTCCGTCCCTTGAGTGAGCACTGGCATTTATCTGACAATATGGTGAGATGATTCAAGGAAGAACTGGCCAGAAAAAACCAATTTCTTAATTTCATGGTTACTTCTCTCTCTGAACTGACTTATTGTGTGTTTGTACAAATGCCAGGGCAGTAAAAGAGATGAAGTAGGGCTGAAGGAGGAGGTGACGCCACAGAAACCCTCATTTGGCCAGCTCAAATTAGTGCATAATGGCATCTTTAACCTCCTCCTGAACCTGTTTACAAGCTGATGGCTAAACTGCAATGAAAGTGATAATGCTTTAGTACCTGCTTAGGACAGCAAAGCCATGCAGTAGCAAAGTAAGTAGCCAGTTCTGAAAATCCAGCTGCTATGATGGCAAAATGACATTATTCGCTATGTCAGTAAACAGAGGGATCATACACAACATGATCCATAATCACATCACCCGTTTGCTTTGTTAACAGTCAGGTTTATTTCTCACCAAGGCAACAGTCTTGTCTCTTCACTGATACAAGCATTAGCATTGCTTCCCTTCCTTGAGAAGCTAGGGTTTGTTCTCCTGCACTCAACTGACCAGATTACAACCCTAAACTGTAACTCTTCCTCCTCCTGTGCTGCAGATGGATTAAGGTTTTTCCATGTGGCATAGGCCCACTCAGTGGATGTCACCATCTCCACTGTCCCCACTTTCCCAGTCATGTTGTCCTCCACTCTCCTTTGTGCTGCCACCAAGACTTACCAGACCACTTCAAGAAAAAGTGCAAATGGCCTGGGATCACAAAAAAGCAGCCAACAAGTAGATGAGAGGGTGTTTTACCACGACTGAATCTGACTGAAGTTTGGGCTGCTGTCCTTCTTTTCCTCTGTTCTGGCCATGTGTTCCTGCTGCTCCCTTGGGCTGGATCTGACCAATATACAACTGCATGTCTGTGCATACAGCCTACATTGCATGCACTCATGTAGGGAGCATTCTGATGTGAGCATCTATGTAGTTACAGAGTAGGAGCACTTGCAAACAGAAAAGTTGCTCGACTATTTCAAGAATGTTTCAAAACATTTAACACTTCATTGAAACTGTTCTTTCATCCGTCTGCCCACAAAGCCAGATTTTTTTCAGCTTTAAGGAGATGTAAAATAATTTTAAAACGAGCTTTAGAGCCTTTGTCACATCCTGATTCTTTAAAAAGTGTTATCTTGTTATGCTAAGAAATAAGCACTGGTTTTTATTGCTTTGTTTTACTTGAAAGGCAGATATTTTCTGCCTGCCTTATCTGTCGCTGCCGTTTACTGGTGTGAAGTGTTTCTGCTTCTCCAGGATACTTGACAGGAAGTTTGCAGCATTTCTGCCAGTCTGGAAATCCATTGCCCCTCACACAAAGGCACACTGCTGGGGAAGGGAAGGCTCTGCTTTCCTAGATCAGTGGTTCTCAAGTGCAATTCCTCATTAGGCTGTGGAGTGGGAATGCCTGTCTCCTGGCCTGCGTGCTGGGACAAGATGGTCATGCAAAGAGTGATAAGGGATGATGTCACATTTTGTGGGGAGATCATTTGAGTTTGGGTCCATTTTGAGAGAAATTTTTTTTTTTTTCAATGTGAATATAATTTCTAATGGCTTTTCTATCTGTTGCTGGTCCAGAGCATGAAAGTCCAGAGAATTTCTGGAAAATTCACTGCTATACTTTAAGCATCTTGAGGCAAATGAATGCCAAATGTCTTGCAGGACTAAACCACCATCTTTCTGTTTGGTTTTGTATCCTACTTTTTTCTAAATAACTATTTTCATTAAGAATTCCTAAAAGACAGTTAAGATACATCTTTAGCAGTGTGGCAATACCACCATAATCATGGTAATACTGCAATGGTATTGAAAAGAAAAATGTTAAATCTTAGGAACCGCTAAGATGAAGTCATAAATGACATTTCTGTGTGCAAGATTAAGACTTTGCACTGTAGGAGAGTCCAATGTTAGAGCAAACTATAAATCATCTAAGCAAGGAAGGTTTCTTAACTTGTACTAACATAAGCCAACCGCAAATTTTCAGCACTGGTAACTAAATAATCTAGATCTTTGGAGGGAAAGTAGGGACAAAATATCTATCAGGTTTTTTCTTTTCAAATAAGGTCTGCTTAAAAGCATGTCCAAAGCAGGAAACGTTTGTTGTAAGTCCAAAGAAAGATAGCTGGCAATAGTGGAGTAAACAAAGGTATATATTTTTATGTGAAATCCCATTTATTTCATGAGGTCTCTCCATGGGGTAATGTCACAAACAGATATTTTAATTACATTTATAAATCACTACAGGGAGCTTATGTCTCATGAATCCACATATTTTATTCTATTTGGTGGATTTTGATTGAGTTCTCATTCAATAGAAACAAACAAAACAAGACTTCCATAATTAAACTACTTTTAAAATTTTTACTACCTAATTATATTAGCACAAAACAATGTATTCTCATCTACAGTGGTAAACTGGTGCTAAACAGTACCACTGTTAACTGAATTAAGTTTAATTAAATGTTTAGCAATTAATAAAATACCCTCTGAAGAGGAAAAACTGCTTCTAATATTGGCGTAGAAGAAATTCTTTGAGGTAGTTTAACCCGTTTGAGTAGACTGCATGGCAAAATCAGACAGGGTCACATGAAATAAGGAGGGTAGCAATGGCATAATCTTTCTATATAATGTATAATGTAGTCTTTCTGTAACAAGTTATCTTTTCTTGGTAGCTCTGTCATATCAAAGCTCAACAGGTCAAAAAGCAAGTCGTAATTAATTTTTATATTATTATTTGGAGTAATCATTTCCTCTAAGAAACTAAGACCAGATTTTAGGATATTAAATACTAAATAGTAAAATTAGGTGACTGTGGTCAATGTGTTCTGCCTTAAAAACAATCCCTTCTTACATCAAACAACAAGGATATCACTGGTTATTTGCCTGATGAACCTGTTTTGGTTAAGAATGTATTCAGGATACTGTTCAAGTGACAAGATTTGCTGCAATTGAACAATGTTTGTACTTCCCAATGCTTGTGACCCTTTTGCTTGAGAGAACAATGCAGAATGGTTAAAGAGGAAAGTGCTGTCTTTCTGGCTGTAGGAGTCTAGGAATTAGTACCAGTAGACATTACTCCTTAATATCCTCTTCCTCGTTTCACTCATTATCATCCCAAGTAGACACAGGAGCCTGTTTAGTTTCTCACCTTATACCTTGAATGCCTGCTCAGTGAGCACACTCTGACTATGTTGTGTATTTTGCTCCCTCTGACTTGTGGAAGCTGATAGTCCAGTGCTCAGTACGACAGTGAACTGAGCCCAATAACCTTTGACCATATTCCTCACTTTGAACTGCTGCAGTTACAGTGTTGTGTCACTCCTGCTGCTCTCAAGCAGCTGCATCACCCCCAGGCAGGACACAAAGCCTCCAGTCACCACCACCATGGGACGAAGATTCTGTTTCTTGGCAGCAGGTGTCTGGGTTCTCAGTTAGAGCTGATATGTCCATGTCCTTGAGGGAATCTCAGCAGACTTCATGGGAGCCCCCATCTGGTCTTTGTGTGCAGCACAAGCAGTGCTGGAAACCTTGTACCTGAGATAAAGCTGATCTTTTCTAAAGTCCTCCTTTGCTCACTGAGACCAGGGAGTAGCATTCAAAAAGGATTCTGAGTAAGGATCTGCTCTCCTGAGTCTTTCATCAAGTAAAAAAAGTATTAAAAACATAGCAATGCGTTTTCATCCAGTTTCATGTAGGCAGTGTGTAAAGCAACATAACTCCTATTTCTTCATGCATATTGTTAACCAAAAGCTGTTCTTAATTGCATTATAACCAAAAATAATGCGACAAATTTAATTTCAAATGTAAAACAGCTCTGTTTGAGTTCTTTAGTAGCTACTCCACATCTAATATGGAAAGAGTTTTCTCTTTAATTGTGTCTCTATGCCTTCAGGAACATTGAGCAGCCTTTTAAACATCTGCTTTTTCCAACCTGCCACTTAACAAGTTATGGTTTGGAATAATTTTCTCTTTGTCTTATTTTTATCTCTTGTCAGTTGCAGATTATGAACCTAAAAAAATACAGAGGGCCAGAAAATCTGAAAGACAAGTGTGGGGAAACATCTGCAGTAATCTTTATTAATGTGCTCTGTATAGAAATCTCTATGTATTTTTAGTTTATATGTTTGCTTTTAAAAGAAAACTGGAAATTTCAGACACTTTTAATTTAACATGTGCTCTTGTCAGCCCCACATCCTACCCAAATAACTCTCAGTGGACTTTTCTCCAGAGGAGATGACAGTGGTACTTACTGAGGCACAGTTGCTTTCCGACTTGTCTTCTAGAAAGCCAATTTGGCATGGTGTCCTCTGATTCTGCAGCCAGTAGTCTGTTGATTCTAGCAGACTGTTACTGCAGAGAACCTGTTAAAATAGTTAAAAAGAGTTAAAATAATTAAAAATTTCACTCAGTCCTACTGTGCTTTGGAGGCCTGAACTCTGCTGTTGTAACTCAAAGGAAACTTTGCCTACAAAATTTTGAGGGGGCAGGATGGACCCCTGTTTGGTTTGAACCCGTCAAGTTACTGCACCTTAAATCAAATTATTTATATATCCCCTAAAGTATTTCAGAACTGAAAGTCCTGAGACACTTGAAGGAGATGCCTAAACCCAATATTTTTACTGGAAAATATTACTATGAGTTTTGTTCTATGGTAAAGTCATAAACATAAATGTTGGGAAAACTAATTATTTAATTATACCAGAGTGCACAAACTTGCAGCCTTTATGAGTGACTGTATCTCTCTCCACAATAGATCAGTACTAGTCATCCTGCCAGCAGTCTCATTTCTGGGACTGCCAAGGCTCCTAACTCTTTCTTCTTAAATACTTTTTTCTGCTTTCTGAGAAGCTAAAGTACTTAAGATTTCTGTAATGAGTCCTGAGCTCAGTCAGTGCCCTGAGATCAAAACTTTGGGTTTCATCTCTGTGTTGACTCAGTCCTGCAGACTGTGCCCATGGGCTTTGCTCAAACAAAAAGGAAATGGGGCTACAGATATCTGTAGACTAGAAAGAGGCAAAGCCAGTTTTGCAAATCTGACATTTAGATTGAACTGAATTCTTTACTTTCTGTCTCTGTACTAATATTCTTCCATGAAAAAGCAGGACCATTAGTATTAGGGACCATTAGTACTTGGGAACAACAGGGAAAAATTGCTGTAACACTGATGCTACTTACAGAACATTTTATATGGTTTATCATCTTCCCCAGGCAGCAAGTATAGAAGTTAAGGGAGCAAGTTAAGAAGTATGTTTGTGAAACAGAAGTATATTTTATTCGTACTTCTTGCAATTCTTGTATTGCACGTAAATAGACTGTACTCTCGTTTTTACACTTTGATTTTAATAATATTTAAAAATATAAATTTGTTGCTATACCTGAGGAAAAAAAATCTACCTACAGCGCTTTACATTAGTGAAAGTTTTGCACTGTCACACATTTGTCCTGCTTACAGACCACTTGATCTGTAAGCCTAGATACCTTCCTTAGGAAGAGAAGTGAGAAGAACTTGTGAGGCCTCTTCATTTCTCAGGGAAGATGAATGACTGTGGAAAGCTGATCTGGCCAGTTGACACAATTTTCTAATATCAGGGGCAATTCAGAGGTAAGCTTGTTACCACCCACAAACTAACCCACTCTAATTTTTATCGTTCTGGTAGAAAGCCAATTAGGTAGTTAATACTTCACTCTCTGTATTATTCTATATTGATTCTTGAATAACAGTCAGCAGAAGATGGATGAGGAGTTAATTGGGAACACCACAGTCCTGAGTTTGCCCTGCTTCAGTGCCCTTATTCGGTACTTTCCACCTTTGTGGTGGTTGTTTCTTGGTATCCCAGCCCTGCTATGAGATTTCTTCCAAAGAGCTTTTGAATACAAATTTAGGGTTCACAAAATACTTGGAAAAAGTACTGTGCCCAAAGACTTTGTTCGGAGAAAGAAAAAGGCTCATGAATGCTTCACATGAACACCAGCCTCTGTTTGGGGGCTGCTGGCTAATCTTGTTTACCAGTCGAATGACTTTGCACTCAATAAGTTTTATAACCTCCTGTCTCAGTGCAAAAAGATTCCTGCCACCATAACCAACTCTGAGACTCGATAGGGAAAATAATATACTCCATATTCCAAAGAAGCAATTTCCTGTTAGTGTAATAACATGTTCATTTTTTTTTCTCTTTTTTTTAAAGCAAATCTTTCTAAATGTGGAAATACTGAAGCATTATGAACTAGTTGGTAAAATCTAGAATTAAGCATTTTTTTCTTCATTTCCAAAAATTACTACCCTCTGAGGCTTTTATGAAGACATATAGAACTGAACTTATACAGACATGCACACATACACATGTATATCTATATACATATATGATTTCAAATTTCATTGGATTCTAGATATTCTCATCCTCAGGGGCTGAAGTTCTACCTCTTAAGACATAATTTTCATACACAGGAAATAGTTCTCTTTAGCTCAAATAGCTTTTGCTGTAACAAGCAATCTTGTTTCATTTCCTTAAAAGTCACAGTGAATTTGTCTTCAGCCTTAATCACTTTAGATCTTTCTTTCCCAAAACTCAGTTTCTGAGAAGGTGTGATAGGCAGAAATTTATCATCCAGAAACAAGCTGCAGAAATCCTTGGTACTGTTCTTTTTCTCATAAGGTGGGCATTTCAGAACAGCTATATCATAGCAGAAGTGTATTGTAGATGATAAAACCCATGAAATGATCTGTGTAGTCCACACTTCACCTGGTTTGTCTCCTGTGGGATGTTAAATGACCCCTGGCAGTTCCATCTTTCTTTCAGAGGATGTTTTTATCAGGAAGCAAATACTGGTAAGGCAGCAGCAGAAGAAATAACTCTCCTGAACAAATGTTTCAGTCAGGTCAGGTCATAGTTGCCAAGCTTGGGTCACACCAGGATGGTGTGATGCAAAGCTTTATATTGCATTTAATTTTTTGTATGCAGCTTTTCATAAGAGACTTTAAAGTCAAGGGTAGAAATTATTACATGGAAGTTTTGGACAGCATGTGATTTTTAAGTAACCTCAAGGAAATGAACATTAGTATGATTATGCAGCATTTGGATTTGAAAAAGACAGGTGAGAAAAATAAAACCAGATATACTTGAGTCTACGCAGTAGAAGCTGGCAGAGGTCAGCAATCTAAGGAACACAGGGTGGCCTAAAGTCATCTGGAAAGCCTCCAGAAATTACCCAGAAAAGACAGTGCTCTGGGAATGGGAGGCATGGGGGAACATGTGCAAGAGGTCTCCTTGCACAGGGCCTGGTTTTACACATATTTGAATGGAAGTCAGGAGATGGAAGGTGACATTTGAGTAAGCAGTGGTAGGAATGAGGGGTAAACTTTGGTTGAGTTTAAACTCCATGTTACAAAACACAAGTTCCTGCATTAGGATCATTACAGACATATAACTGCTGAAAGCCTTCCCATCAGTACTTCTGTGAAAGAAGAATAATTTGGGCCACCCTGTAGTGCTGGTCACAGTTAGAGTTCCACACACCTGCTGTGCAAAAATGCATCTATAGAAGCCATGTGAACTTTTGGGCACATTTCTTTGATAACAGACAGCATATTATCATGGTCAAAGACAAACATAGGGTAAAAGTGAATGTAATATTGTTTACAGCCCCTCGCTGTTGTAAGGCAATTCTCCTTACATAGGTTAAATAGGTTCATGTGTTTATATAAAGTGTGAGCTTGCATGTGCATTAGAACTTGCTGGGATATTCATGCTTTTAAGGGAATATACTGAAGTCCTTATAGTAAAATAATGTACGACTGCAATGATCAAAAGTGTATAAGCTTGAAAGAATTGACCTAAATTAGCAGAGCTAAATAATTAATCAAAAGCAGCGTGAGAACTGGTATTCCTCAGATCTCTACCAATACATTCCTATTGCCATTTTTGCATTTAAGCATAGGTTCAAAATATACTGAGGTGGTCTGCACCAAATCGTAAGAAACCTAAGCCTGTACAGCTTCAGCTGTCAGTCTGCACTTCTGCACTTTTAAGGCAAACAGTATTGCTTGCCAAAATTTCCTCCTCCTGTCTTGTACTTCTCTTCATTCTTATCTAATTAAGACAAGTTCAGGGCCAATCCCACTGACATATTGTTAGCATTTTGCTGAATTCAGCAAGGTTGCTTTTGGTTTGCAATGGTACAACCGAAAGCAGAACTTGATTCATTGACCATACTCGTGTGACAGCTGCACACACTGTACTGCTGCATATCTGGTTCGAAGCAGGATCATCATACTCAGAAAATAATTCAGGATGAATTTGCATCATGCACTAAATGTGAAATCAGCAGTAATTCATGGTTCTAAAAAAAGTTTTCCACTCTCATCTAGAGACTCAGCCGTCAGCATTACTCACTGTGTTGGGAATCAATGAACTAAATCAGCCTCTAGCAGAGTGTGGATCAGAAAAGTCACTCTTTCCCAGAGGAAAATACTGCATATGAGTTTAGTGTAACAGCTTCCTGCTCCCTGATTTAGATCATAAGACATTAAAATACACTAAATATCTATAACTGAGACAGCATTAAAAAAGCTCTGCTCCACAAATGAAACATCTGCGTCTTCATGACTGATCATCCTAATTGCTTTGGTTAATTACTACTCATCAAAAAAGACAGGAAAGTGGGACATACAGTGGGACACATAGAATAAAATGAGCTATCAAGGGGCACATCTTCTGCATTCATTCAGGTTCTGTGTCATGTGGTTCCTGGCAGGAGCCATTCATGCCAAATACAATTACTTAAATCTGCAAGTTTAAACTGTTCCCTTGCAGCAGGAACCCACAGCATTTCACTCCACCACCAATTACACATCTAACTTAAAAATCACTGTACCTAACAGAGGCTAAAAGAGAATTCTTTATCCTTTTCCACACACACAAAAAGAACACTAACACTTTCTGTGACAATGCTGTTAAGAAGCCCAAAATATCCTGCTGGTTGTCAGAAGTGTTGTCAGAAGCGAATCACTTATTTTAGTGTGCCAACAATCATAAAACTGACTCGTGTTCCAATGAACAGTTCAAATTCATGGGATCAGAGAGGTGAAGCAGCTCTCAATCATGTGGTAAAGCCCAGCCTTTAGAAGAGAGTGATGTTTCTGAAGGTGACCAAGCAGGAGCATTTGTAAAGACAGCGACAGCACTTCTCAGTGCTGTGCCACTGTCCTTCACTCTTACATAAAGTAGACAACTCTGAGATTAAATGAAAATTTAAGATGTTCTCCCACACAGTAGGTTTTCTATGTGAAGATTCCCATTACATTCAGCAGCCTTTTTAAAAATCATGTATTATTTTGCAAAGGAACCTTTTGATCAAAAGAAATATTGACACTTTAGCCATGCTGAGGCAAGCCAGAGAAGCCCAGTCCCAGCATACATATCCACTTTGAGTTCTTTTCTTTCTATCAATGATATTATATCTACCAAAATTTCTGTGTGTGGTTTTCAGGATCAGGAAAATAAATCTTTAGCATCTACATGTTTTATCCTTCTCTCTCCTTACATACATAAACATATATTGTTGTTAGTTTGAAAACAAACAAACAAAAAACTCCAAACCCCAAAGGAAAGCATTATTCTTTTTAGTTAAAGAAGGAGGAGAAAAAAAGTAAGAATTATAGGAAAACTGAATGAACTGTAAAGGTTTATAACAAATGCTGTCTTTTCAGCTCTAGAATTATGCCTGTGGGAGACAGTAGAGCTCTGAGGGTTACTGCAAAGTGAGAGGTGAAAGATAGCCTGTCCTCCTCAATAGTCTTTGGTAGTGCCCCCTTCCCTCTGGCATAGCATGGTTCTGGGGAGGAGGAATAAAAGGAAGCATCCATGGTCTTCACTTCTGTATTCTCAGTTGTACCGAAATTAGCTACATGCATAAATTAACATCTGAGCCCTCCTAATGACACACATACACACACAGGTGCCATTTTTTCCCTCCCACATGCTCTAAATTAAATAAAAATATAAACCTGTTTTAAGGAAAGAGTAACAGCAATGTATACCACCTCCTGTTGTAGAAACCCTTCCAGTCAGACATGAGGGAGGACAGAAAACCTGTTTCATAGATCAAGCAGACAGAAACTGCAAGATACCATAACAGCAACAATAATTTATTTTTCTGTATCAAGACCTTTTCTTTTTAAAGTATCACTTAAGTTTGTATTCCTCAATAAAGCCAAAAGCTAAAAAGCAAAGCTATGTATATATCTGACTTTGAATATAGCATAAACTTAGACGTTACCTTCTTACATGCTGTGACAGAGCTTCCCAAACTGCTTGCAGAACTGTCTGTGCTGCTGCCTTGGCGCTCTGGGACTTCATGCATCAGTGGAGATTCAAAGGTGCTGAAGAACAAAAAAGAAACAAGCCCCCAAAAACCTTTCCAGTGACTCAGCTACATAAATAACTCCAATAATACCAAAACACAGTTCAGTAAAGAGAGGTAACAGAATACAGGAAGCTGTCTATAGTCTCCTTGCTGATGTTGCTAGTCCATTTATTGCTAATTTTCCCTTTTTGGGAGATTCTCCTGAGCTTCATGTTTTGGATATAAAATAGCAGACTGATGTCTTTTGAAGACTAGAGGATAGCATAAACTGCCTATAATCATATCTGTCTTGAATGACACTGTAAAAAGTGATACTAGCTTGTTTTCATAAGCAGGCAGCTTGGAACAGCAAATTAAATACTTGTTGCATAAATTCAGCTTCGTAAACAAGAGAAATATTTGCTGCACTTTTACCTGCTAGGATAGAAGTAAAGGGGTGGTGACTAAAAAGTAAAAAACACAACAGGAGAGCTAGAATTCTGTAATCCACATGGAATTGCTTGATACATTGTGGGTTTAGAGCAAAGGTAAGTCGTGCTCATACTCTGTTTTGTGAGTCAGTTGTACACAACAAATATATTTGCTTTGGGACTGTGCAGATGTGAAGTATAAAACCACAAAGACAAGTTCTCCCATCCAAGTTATTTGCACACACTGCAGGTACCACCCCTCATACTTTTCTTCTGGAATAGTCCAGGCCAGTCTTGTAAGATCTTCCTTCATATAATAATCATATTGTTGCAAGACTAGTGAAGTTTCTCCCTCCTTTACCACAGAGTGTTAAAGGGCTATTTCTCCAGAAAGGTACTAGGGAAAGAGTACCCTACATGATCAAGTTCTGTTTCCCAAATTGGGTCTCTAGAGCACTTTCAATTATTGCAAGTCATCTATGAGAGACTGTGGAGCATGTTGTGATAGACCATAATGAGTGACCAGGTTGCTGCGGCTTGAGCAATGATCTTTTACTGGAGCTTAAACCAATATGTTAAGAAGAGGCTACTTAGGTTACTGTCCCTTTCCCCCCCCCCCCCAAATCTACAGCCAAGCATCAGTAAGGTTACCTTTCTCTCAAAGATCCATGGATGTACATTTCACTTGACACTACTGAGGACTAGACATGAATATATCCATTCCCACTGATAAGTAACTTTGTAAAAAAGAACTTCTGCTGATGTGTGTGGTGTTCCATAATTATTTAAGAAAAGTATCTAGATGTGCTGCTATTAAAAGAGTGAATGAAAAATATAAAACTAACTTTGTGCTTATTAAGTGCCAGTTGGGGGAAACATCATGAATTGCATATGAGGATTGAATACAGATGCAGAAGTGAGACCAGAGGGTTAAATGACTTCACTTGGAAAGTGTGATACCACTTAATACTCTGGAAGATATCAGCATCCTTTGTATCTAGAAAAAGTACTTTTGCCTGTTTACAAAATTCTGCTTCCTTGCTCAGTCGATAAAGATAAACAGTAACATTTCTGGGCAGTGATTTCTCCAGCATTTGACAAAGCAAAATAACATTTTATTGGCCTTATACAGAGTTCTTTAATAGAATGAGGGACATTAAACATATTAAGTCAATTCTGGTTTTATATCTTCATTAAAAATAAGCACCTCATATTCAGAGGGTCAAATATTATATAAGTTAAGTATCCTCCTTGATAAGTCCACATTTAGGTGCAGCCTCTGTAGTAGGTAAAACTCACTACTCCCAGCAGGAGCTGTGCCCTGCCTCTTTTTGTAAGATGCATCACTTCTGCAACCTGAAAGGAAATTACAGGTCAGGTCTGACCCGTAGGTTGAAGTACAAAGCTCGTTGTTTTCTCCTGCTCTTCACTGAGAGGAAGACTGAGTGGCTTTGCCACTTCTTCTCCCTACAGGGAGCTGAGATGCTGATAATGACAATTTGCTCTCAGTTACACCATGTGCAGGGAACTGAACTGCCAGTGCATGAAGTGCTGCTGAGTCTAAAAGCAACAAAGAGGACAGTTTGACCACTAAATGAAGGCCTTTTTTGGAACTTAATTAAACAGTACAAGCAGAATAGTACATTAAAGCATAGCTGGAAAATACAGTTGAAGAGTCACATTCTGGAGTACTAATAAATCTGTGCTATCTCTGGATGATACTCCAGTAATGGGTAGCACATGACATGTCCCATACAGAAGTAAAGCTCTCCTTCTGGTCATGTGGGAAGTGAAATGATCTTTAAAATCTTCTTAATCCTTTTAAATCTGTGTTATTCTCAAAATAAGCCCACTTTTCATTTGTAAATAGAGAAAATCTTGTTAAAAGTATGTGATCAGTGAAATAAATGTAGACTGCTATTAAATGTTTCCAAACAGACAAGGTTCCTTCTATGACTGAAGTTCAGACAGGAAACACAACTGCCTTTGGTGTTACTGAAATCTGGTAAACCTCAATTCTCTTGTCAGCTATCCCAGTCCTCAGCCACATCCAGCTGATTACTTGGAACACAGGAAAAATCAGCAGCTGTGTTTCGCAGGACGAGGGGCAATGCATTTACAAGTATTTGTAACACTTTCAGGGCTTCTTTTTTTGTGTTAGGTTCATGTTTCCTGTGCCACAGCTGCAGAGCAGAACCCCTGTTCTCCTGCTGCACTGCAGTTCAACACTCATTGTGCCAGTGATATGAACTCTAGGCTTCCACTGTTTGCAAACAGGTTCAAGCAGTCAGGCTTCACAGTCACTGAAAAGCAGAACTATTTTAACAAAGAAGTGTTAAAATAGGAGAGCTACATTCAGAAACAGTTTTAGACCCCACGGCCTTTTCCTCAGTGAGTTTATGGGTATGCAATTTCTAAAAGAAGTACAGAGAAACAAACACACTTCCCCACAGCTTGGCCACTACTGATGGTCAGTCAGCTACATGGTCACCTCTAGGTATCACACAAAGTAGACATGTTGCAGTGCATGCTAACTGATGGAAAAATGAGCACCTAGCTGTGCTTCTTCAGGCTGGGTATCCAATGCCACAAATCGGAGTCTTCCGTAACTCAGGGAGGTGCAGTGAAGGTCCTGTCTAGATACCTTCAGATTCATGTCTTTCTTCCAATGTGGAATACAGGTTTGGCTTTTAAACATCTCTTTTTCAGTTATCTCAGCTCTCAGTAAAATTCCCTCTTTTTTTATCCCGTGGGTACCCTTTCTAAGCTTTCATTTTCAAGGTGTGTGATTTCTCAAGAGACCCTCCTCAGGCCATACAGCTCCACCACCTTCACTCTGTAGCAAAGAAATAAAGATAAACCTACTTTCCATTAACTCCCCAGGGAAAAACTATTCTGTCTCTGAGAAAGTGTCTGGTCTCATTAGTTCCTCAACAGCAAGAAGCTGAAAGAAGCTCTTGCAGAGATGTAGCCAGCTCATCACTGAATGATAGCTCCGCATTCATGTACTCTTTACTTCACACTAAGAGTTTACACAAAGCGCTGGTCTTTCAAGACATCTGGCACAGATTGGAGCCTCTCCTCTACAAGAGAAAGAAAGCTGTTGAAGATTTCAGGTCCCAGTTCTCAATTTTGCTTGGCTCCCTTGTTTAGTACGTGATGGAGAACGCTCATCTGACTTAGATGTGCTCATCTGACTTGGCCCTATCATGAAAGCCACTGAGATAACAAAGAATCTCTGTTAAGGGATGGCTCATTTGGGGAGTTTTCTTTTGGTGAAAGGTCCTAATCCACAATTCAACTTTTGAAACTGAAGTCTGGAACCTGGACCTATGACTCAGTGTTAAGAATGTGTCATTTTCACTTTAACGTTTCTATTAACGGAAGAGTCTCTACAGCCACTAATTTTCTACCAGGTACTCTCTTACTGATTCATGAATTTGGACTGGTATTTTTTTCCCTACAACCTAAATGCACTCACAAAAAAATTCTTGGAAATTAGAGTAAATATCTATGAGATTTATGTCACCAACTGTAATAACAATACATCCTCTATTACTGACCAAAATGCAAACCAATTGCTTATTCTTTCCTATGTTGAATAATTCAAAAATACTGACCTCGATGACTCAAGACTTAATCAAAAAACCCACAGCTGCTCCTAAAAATAATTATCTTCTTTGCAGATGTGGCAGATGGTGCTACATCAACTAAGATGAGGTAATTTAAAGAATTCCCCAGGTTATCACTAAAGAAAATTAATCTTGTGAAACAATATCAGAAACTTCAATTTTCTACTATCTTGAACAAACATAACCAGCTTCCAAAAACTCGCTGTTCAATCATCATTCCTAAGGAGCAATCTCAATAAATAAATAAATGACCATTATATATATTTTTTGAATCAATCATATTACAACCTACTGCTTTTCATCTTTACATTATGATTCCTAATCTTGGCATTTTGAACATACAAAACATACTGATCCATGAAAAAGATAATGTTGAAGGAAGTGAACTGAATGAACACAGTGAGATTTCTCAATGCAATTAACTCCAAGCTATAGTGAGATACATTTCTAATGTTTTGTTAATATTTCTACTGAACACCATGAACAACAAAAAAGGGATGAATCTCATTTTGAAATAGAAGCGAAAGCACAGTAAAATACCTCCACATATTCTTACCTTTACCCTCACAAATAAACCCAAAAGCTACTCAGAAACTGAGGAAGGCAGTCAGCTTAATCCATACCCTAAGCAAGAAGCAGTTTTGAAAGGCATGCAGTGTTCAAACAACATCTCCTAACTTCAAAGCCTTTTTGAAGTGGACAGACTAGTTACACTCTTTCCTCAGGCTACCTTTCAGATCTTACAGTTTTAAAATTTACCTTTATGTGTAAACAGGTCAGCAAAGTCACTAGGAGCAAAACCTTTAGATATAACAGTGCCAAAGTTACTATTCTAATCCATATAAATGGTTTTATTCAGTCTGGACCATGTGTATACTTCAATCAGAGCACAGATGGTTAGTCAAACAGATGCTCTATAAATACCTCAAACAAATGTCTTTCTGATTTTGTTATGGATTTGGAATCCATGTGCA